AGATCCCCTCCCCGTGGAAGTGGCTCTCTCCATTCCGGTCAAGCAGAGGCGGAAGGTGCTTCGTACGAGTAGAGTACTCGCGCCTCCGAGAGCACTCTCGTCCGGAGTGCTCCGACTGCCGGTCCGCACAGGACCCTGAGGTTGACCGCCTCCGTCAACGTGTCCTCGTGCTTGAGATTGCACTTGTCCTTGGGACTGGCGGTAATGCTGCCGCCCAGGCCGGGAATCAGGGCGAGCTCGCTCGTCTTGCGGGCCGCCTGGACCTGGTGGAGCGAGAGGTCGCGAGCCTGCACCTGCGGGTGGATCGCCGGGCCTCTTCGTCCGATCTGGACGAGGCCTTTCGCATGATCCGACGGATCGAGGCTTTGTTGCCACGTCCGGAGCCGCCTGCGGCACACTCCCAGACGTACGCGTATGGTGCGTACCCGGCGTACTCAGCGTACTCGGCGTATGGCGCCGGGGTCCGTTCGTATGGAGCCCCTCCGGCGTACGGTCTTGACCGCAGCCTTGCCGTCCCGACCGAGGCTTGGGTGCCTGCTCCGACGCCCTCGTCGACGACTGTGACCGGCCCTCGCTTCGAGGAGCTGGGTCAAGGGGGGTCTGCGAGTCAGCAACCCCCTGCGGGTCAAAGTACCGCTTAAGACGTCCGACATAGAACGTCGGGTGCGTCTTCATTGACTTTGGAAGGTCGATGGTGTACGACGCACCATGTCTGGCCAAGACTGCAAAAGGTCCGATGAAGCGGTGCTTCAGTTTGTTGCTGCCGACAGAGCTAACAGTGTCTAGAGGTAGGTTCCTCGTGTCTAGCAACACTAAGTCACCAACCTCAAATATACTTAAGTTTCCTCTTCCTTGTTTGTCTGAGTACTCCTTTTGTTTATCTTGGGCCGCTGCCATGGCATCGCGGACCCTGCTGACAATGTTCAGCTTGGTATCCATAAAGGATTCCACCTGTTTCCGCAGCGAAACTGGCCTCACATCCGAGACCTGGGAGGAAAGGGCTTTCCGAGCCTCTCCCCCACTTAGAATAGAGGAGTCAGTGTCTCCTCGAAGAGTGAGAGGCACTCTGGGGTGGCGGAAGCCGTTCAAGTAGAGCGGCGTGAACCCCGTGGACGCGTGCACCGCGTTGTTGAGCGCAAACTCAACAACTGGAAGCTGCGACGACCACGTACGTGGCGCTGCCGCGCACACACTGCGCAGAGTGTCCTCGAGCACTCGATTGACGCGCTCTGTTTGGCCGTCTGTCTGCGGATGATCCGCAGTGGACATCTGCAGACGAGTTCCCAGTAAAGGGAACAGCGTTCCAAAACGC